TAATGAAAGCCTAAATTCATACCTAAAGTTGAAAAACAACTCTCGGTTTTGCCCCAAAACTCTAAAAAAAGTCTAGACTCATCCCTCATGTTTAAAAAGAACTCTCGGTTTTCCCCCAGACCCTAAAGGAAACCTAGACCCATCCCTAAAGTTAAAATATAACTCTCGGTTTTGTCCCCTAGACCTAAGAGAAAACATAGACTCTTCCCTAAAGTTGAAAAATTACTCCCGGTTTTTCCCCCAAAACCCTAAAGAAAGCTTAGACCCATCCCTAAAGTTAAAAAAGAACTCTCAGTTTCGCCCCCAAGACCTCAGAGCAAACATAGAAACACTCTAGGTTACGAGCTCATTCCAATTATAGTAAATCCCGAGAAAAACCGAGAATCCCAACTCTCGGGTTGGTCCGTCAGTCCAATAACAATTATAACTAATTTTTTTTTAATTCGACTTCTACACAGCTAATTTCATTCTGTTTCATATAAAAATTTGCGCCATTCATGTAAAATAGGGAGAAAAATTATGCTTAATATATTTTACACGAATGTTGCAATTTTTTATTTAAACGAGTGGATAATCGCATTTTCTGTATATGGATATAGTTTATGTTGCTAACAAATTAGCAATATTCTTCCGAATGAATTCTCTATTTTTGTAATTTATTACTCTTATTTTTTGTTTTAAATACTGACTCCCATATTACTCTCTTATGATCCTTATATTACCGTTTTATGAACCCATAGAACCCCCATATGACCCCATCTGGCTCCATGTGACATCTATGTATCCCCACATGTCCCTACCCTATAAACCCACATGACTGCATATCACTCCATATAATCCCGTATGACCTCCATATGACTCTTGCATGAGCTAATGCGATCCTTGTATGACCCCATAACACCATATGATTCCATGTGACTCTCATTTAATGCCTATATATGACTGCATATGACCCCATATGACCTCCATATGTGTACGTCCACGTGAAAAGGGCCCACTTTGTCGCATCTAGTTTCCGAGATATTCCCGTTTTTCTCTCCACATCTCCCATTTAAACCAATGTTAAATTGTTTTTTTGATCGTCTATACTGACGTCAGTTTTCATTCTATCGGGTTGATTTTGGGCTCAAAATGTGAGAAATCTGATCAAGATTATCGGAACATACATAACTCCAATACCGTCAAAATGGGCCCTTTTCATGTGGACGTCCATATATAACCCCATATAGCCCCCCATATAGCCATATAGCCCCATATGAGCACATTTGACCCAATGTGAGGCCCATATGACCCCGTGTGACCTCCATATAATGCCATATTACTCCAATATGACCTCATACTGCCCGTATATGAACCTCATATGAACCCATATCACTTCGTATAACGGATGACTCCCGTATAACCCCATGCGATCCACATATAACCACATATGAACCCAATATGACCCTGTACCATCCCATATGAGCCCATTATGACACCAAATGACCTCATTTAACCCCCATATGACCCCGTACAACTGTTATATGACCCCCATATGTCCTCCATATGACCTAAAGCTTCATATTGCTACTATGCAACTTAAGGGGTAACGGAACCGACCACAAAAAGACGTTTACCAAATACAAGTTTTCTTGGATTCTATGCAATGAGAATCAATGAAACTTTTACCCCGTATTGAGAGTAGCGGAACGCATCGCTCTCTTCTCATGCTTTTCTTATTTATGCAAAAAAAAAATTGCAAATTATTTAACGGCAAGCACCAGGGCAAGGCTGACGCCATTTCATTCGTAAGAATCTGCCAAGTCATGGTAGAAAAACCGATTTTTTCGTAGATTTTTCTTAGCCGATGGCTATTTTCATGAGAAGAGAGCGATCGAGTGAGGTCCAAGACAGAGATTTTGAGTACAAAAACGTACTTTTGTTGCGTAATTTTCGTAAAAACTTGTTTATGATGATTGAGTGGTACCCAGGAGGTAACATGTCCTTTACAGGACACCAATTGTAATACGGAAGTACTTGTACGAGTCAGAAGATGATGTAGAATGTTTCCATACCATTATTATTTATTTATATCCATTTATTTATATTTTATAGGCTTTTGTACTTTTCATGTACAAAATCCAAAAAACCGCGGGAACCTGCAATACCGATAAAGGGGACCCCTAACCTCTACGTGCGACGGATTTCGTTACGACGTAATAAATAGTTATGCTGTTTTCATCATGTTTGCACTTTATCGAGAAAGCATCAAAACAATCTTTTCGGGCCATGATTTCATTGATATGACTGTTAATTTCTCCAGTTTACCATGAAAAAAATGAAAAAAAAAATCTCACAAACTATATGCTGTAGCTCAACAGCGATAGATGCGATTCGCATTATATTCTGATAGAATCAGGAGGCTGTCAATACAAATTCCCTAAGCTATGATTCATTTTATTCTGATAACAATTCTTGGACTGAGCGTCGAAAAATCGATTTTTGAAAAAATACCATTATTTCACAAACTCTATGAATAATCCAACTTTAATGGGTGTCGATGAATAGAGCCTATTAACGTCTATATCTATGGAAAAATTCATGAAATTTCATCAAGCTCGTAGAAAAAAAATTGGGAAAAAAAATTGAAAAAATGTACACACACATACATACATACATACTGTGATGTATTTTTCAACTACACACGCGGGAAATCGTCTGCGTTGTCGTCCACTAACTTTCAGCAACCATTTTGGAGTCTCTCAACCCGAATAAGGACGAAGGTGATCAACGAGAGGAACCAAAGAAACAATACCAAAAGGGCGCCAGTCCTTTTAACCTTCAAAGGACAAGGTCACGATGTCGAAGCGCGTTCCACGACCAGCTCAGGAAACCGCGGAGGCGTGTGGGAACGGACGAACAATTAATGCAGTTCAACACCATCAATTATTCGAAAATAAAATAAACTATATTTTTCTCACAATAATAAAACAATAGAAAAATCGGCCAGATGCCAGTGAAATAATATTCACGATTTTTACATGTGCGGGAGGGTACTCCCGCAAGCAAAAGTTTGACACAATTGAAAAATGATTAATTGTCTGAAGCTACAATTTATAAATTTTCAGAACTAATTGAATGCGTGATAATTACAAAATTAAGTAATTCAATGAAATGCGTGAGAGCGAACTCTACCCACGGTATGACGCGATACAGAGTATTAATATTTTCCGTCCCGGCGGGCGCAAAGTTACATTTCCCTCCCGCTTCGCGGGAGGGAACTCTGACTTTGCACCTACGCCGAGACGGAAAATCGCGTTCTAACCACGGGAAGTAAAATAAAGGACCCTCAGCCGCGTGCTTACCAACCTCGCCTTCGGCTCGGCTGGTAATTGCACTGGCGGCTGAGGATCCTTTATTTTTCCTTCCTAGGTTAGAAATATACTATTAGCAAATGCGAAAATAAGCAGTGATTATACAAATCCATTATTTTTACTTGATTTGAAAAATGAACCAATATCATGCAGCCACAATTTAATGACGAAAGATTATCACTCGCGGGAATCACCCGAAGCGCGACAACGCGAAGGCCACACGAATGAAGAAATTGAACAAAGTTCCCAAAATCAAAACCGATAAACGGCAACAAAATGAATGAAATAATTAATATTCAATAATGAAAATAAAGGAATGAGGCCAAAGGCCACTGAGTGCCGCGTCCTGAAGGCAAAGGCTCGAATTTTAACACTCAAACCGTGTCCAAAATGGCCACCGGAGAAATGAATCGAAAAACCACGCGAGCACTCACAAATTGAATCACGCTCACCGTTTGATATGCGAGAAACTCCAGGATAAACTCGTCTGGACCCTCAGTACGGCGACGTCCGCAAAAGGCCGGAAAATCCAGGCACACCAAAGTAATAATTGTTTTAACAATTTACAGAAGTTCAAAGAGTTTAATAAAACTTTAATTGTGCAGAGCGACTTAATATGGCTAAACCCCAGCGAAGAGTCATCTGTCGGGGCCGTACATCGTCCCGTGAAACCTCAAAATCTTTTCTACCCCCACCCCAATCAACTGATGGTGGCGCTGAGAATCCACGTCCTAGATTATGAATTTTCAATTGGTAATTATTCAGTATTGATGAGTCCCAGAAAACTAAGACCTGCGCCTCGCGGTCGGTGGAGGTGATCCGCATTGAATGGCGCATGAGCCAACATAATCCGCGGGTCCCTTGATGCCACAGCATGAGTTTTTTTCTTGGGTGGCCTTGCGCCACCGATCCATCGTTGAGGTAGTGGGGGTTCGCACGTAGGGACCTGACATGCCTGCTGGGGTGCATCGATCGTCTCTCGCGTCCTTCGTGGTGTGTCTCCCAGACTCAGTGTGTGTGTGCTCGACGGTGTGCTACTCGTCATCTGCTGTAGCACCGACTTGTAGCCATTTCCGATGCTCCGCTCCACTCCCCTCGTCGCGAAGCTCACGCGTAACCCACGGTGAGCGCGGTCGACAGAATTTGACAGAATAATAAAAGAAAGAGTAAATAAAATAAATAAAGAAAATGACAATTGTGGCCCTGGGTGATCCGACTCCTCGCCGGGGTAAAAATACTAATTTTCCCCCCATGATCCGCGGTCAGTTCAGGCGAGGAACATGATTTTTATCATGTTACAATACATACACCATTTAAAAATCGCATATTTAGACTTTTTAGATCATATTTAGTTACCCTGACACGAAAATTTTGAAACTTAATTTTGAACGACTACAAAGCTTCCATTCGGAAGCAAAAATAACAAAATTAGCTGTGTAGGAGTTGAATTTTAAAAAACTAATTCGTAATTGCTATTATACACATTTTTTCACAAAATTTTGAAAAAGAAACCACGGTAGCTCAAAAATTGGAGGCTGTGGACTATTTTCAACATTTTAAACGTCTGCGGGGTAAACGAACAATGAACCATTAATTTTTTCGCACCAATTATTCGTTTATAGAGATATATAATCGACCTTCAAAGGTATGAGAAATCTCATTCCAATAGCCCCGGCTGTGAAAACTCATAGTATTCTCCCCTCAATGGGTGCGTTTCGCAATCAAGGTAGTCGCAGTAACAGTACTGCAACCCTATCCAATTTTGCTTGACTGCAGCTACGGTAGTTGATTCCGAAACGCACTCAATATGTAACCATTTCTTATTCATGAAGTTCAAATTGTTATTCGAATTATCCTTTGCAGCTGACTCCGGAGATAAAGAATACCCAACCGATCGTCCCGCCTACGTAATATGGGCGCTGGGTCGTTTAGATGAGAACAAAGAACCAAGCTTTCACGATTATTACCCCAAATCCGATCTTATGCTCAATCTTAACCGTCAAGAGCCCGAGAACACCTGTACAGATTTCACCGAGTCGAATCGAAAGTTGCAGGACCTTTGGGAGAAATCCGACATCTTCGACAGGAGCATCAGAACGTTCAAAGCGACGATAGGACCTTCTGGAGGGAAGCGAGGTTACCAGGGCATCACAGGACAGACGTCAATCGGGTTGGCATGGTACATCAATGGGCAACTCATTCCTGAGTTGTATCTTCGGAGAGGACTGACTTACAGTTTTCGAGTTCATGGAGGCAACAATCCTCACAGCGCGAATCAATACCACCCCTTGATCATCACCGATGAACCGCATGGGGGGTATGACAGACTCAGCGATGGGGCACAGAGTCAGGTCAGAGTTTTGGCTGGGGTTGAGTTTACCAGGCGGGGGCGACCTAGACCTACTGCTGTTGGCCCTCTTTGTCTGAGTAAACATGGAAATCGGGATAGGAGACTTGATGATGATTTTCTGACATTTAAAAAGTTCAATAGAACACTTGTTCATACTTGTGAAGAAGGTAAATGACTTGTATGCATTGAAATATTTATGTTTACAAAACAAATAGTAATTGATTTTGATTTATGCAAATAAACGCTGTTTCAGCATAAAGTTGAGAAAAGAATTTACTGGGACGAAAAACCACCCAATATCAAAGAAAATCAAATATGGGCCATTCTACCAAATATCGTAAGCAGTTCCGGCCTCAAAATTTTCATTTTTTTTTGTTTCTGGCGAATGCCTATTATATATCAAAAGAGTTTTCTCGAATACCAAAGATCCCGTGATTCAATCAATGGCGCTCTGCGTAAATGAACCATTTCAATTTTATGGTTAAAATCGAAAAATAAAACTTCAAACGTTGATTTCAACCTGATTCTCATTTACGCCCCTTATCGGATAATTTTTTTTTTTTTGAAACTTCAGGAATTTTCGAATCCTAATCATATTTTTAAATTATTCGCTCGTCTATGCCGCAGAGCCGGAAAGAAAACAAAAACCAAAAAATTGATAATTGTAATAACATTTTTTATTCATTTCATAGTTATTTTTATCGACACAGCCTGCTACCTTATTTCGTGATTAACATCATAATGTGCACAGATCACAAGAAATCAATTTCCAGAAAACGCTTCTTTCTCATGTTCCATTTTCCTCCTAAAATTAAGAAATTAAAAAAGACTCACGCTGATAAAGCTTCCATGCGGAAGCAAAAACAAATGGATAATGGCCCTTTTTTTATAACTTAGTCATTTTTATTAATCAATTAGGAATTTATTTCCTAACAGATGTTCCTTTGTAGATAAGCATCTTATGGACTTACAATGCCTAAACATTATTTCTCAGCCTCATTCTGACCTTTATTTCCGGACCTCATTTTTAATTTGGTCCGCCTGACTCTTGTAACCCTTAGTTTTTACCTTTATTCTTTTTTTTTATTCCCAAGCTTTATTTCTGGCTGTTGTGACCTTTAGTTCTGACCCTCGTGACCCTTAGTGGTCTTTTTTAATTTCATAATTTGATTTTCTTACGCCTGTAATTCGAAAATTGATAATGCGATCGCCATCATCTTCATACTCGGTCGGGATAAGATTGAAAGGAGTATTTTGAGTCGAAATTTAATCAATTTGGGCAAATTTTTTAGCTATGTTGACAAAGCTGAATTTCAGAAAATGTCAAAATTCTGGAAACTGTACCATCGGTTAAAATTAAATTGGTAGCAGATGAAAGGGCCCATCAACTCCAAGTTCCATAAAAAAAGAATAAAACAAAAAAAGGATAAAGGGTAACATGCTTAATTTTTTTATCGAAAAAATGTAAAAAAAACATCAGCCACATATATACACACACATCCATATACATACATACATACATACTGTAATGATTTTTCTTTGGCCTCAACAAATACTCAATAAACCCTAACCCAGAAGTCTCGATTATCCAAACACGGCCAACTCATTACCTTCGTTCTCGTAATCCGACAAGTCTGAAACGCCAAAAACCATAACGCTAACACTGGACTTCGGGGACAATCAGCAGCTCATCCAATCCTTATTTCGTGTATTTAGGGCGCCAGTCGATTTTTAGCAACGCGGAATCGACAAACCGCAAA